TACCAGAATGTTAGACTGGATGAACTTTTTATATTTGATCATCAGAATCAATCTCCTTATAGAAAACAAAGGTCCAGGCAGTACATGTACCTTATACAGGGGTTTTCAGTACGTTAGTGACAGGCCTGGGGGTCAGACTCCACATCATCCAGTCTAAGTTCAGAGTTCTTTTGCCATGTGAGGATCCATTCAGGAATGTAAGTGCTGAAGAATGTTTAATTTCCCAGTTTTGTCTCAGAGTGAATCACAGATTATAAATATAATTTCTTCCAAATAAAATTTGGGCAAGTGATTGTTTCCTGTGACAAGAGAACATTGAAATGGAAGCAAATAAGTTTTGATTCTGTATCCCAGCAAGAACCTCTCTTTCTCCTGATTTGGCTCTTATTTTTTTATTAATCTCTTGCCATAGACTGTTGGCTCTCGTTGTCATGTTTCCATCAATTAGCTATTACAGAGAGTAATATCTGGTAAGTAGAACTTACATAATTTCTTTTATACAGATAAATTGGAGGACAAAGATTTATAGAAACACAAATGATGTCTACGTCCTTCTTTCTGTTGTACTGGTCAAATGCCTTGATGGGGATCCTTTCTGAGGTTAAATTCTTTTATAAGAAAGTCATTGTGCTGTCAACGTGAAAGGTATTCAATACTGAGTTTTGTTTACAGTGATATATACTGACACATTATTTCTGAGCAGAGGAGAAGAAAATTTAGGTTCACGTTATGTGCAGATTTTAAGATCACTTATCAGTGTAATCCAGGAAGGAGAAATAGATGCAGCTAAAAGGGTTGCATTTATAGGACACTCCAACAGCAGTGACCACTCAAGAAAAAAATCCAGTCTTCCGTATTTTAATTCTACTCATCCAAACTGAATTTCGGTGAAGAAATAAATGAGAGCCTGTAGATGGCTATGAGAATACAAAGGGTTTAAGAGAGGAGAAAAAGAGGAAAATGCTCTTCTCTATATTTGGGACTAGATCTTACCTACACTTACTCTTTCCTAATGGTGAAAGCAAGCAGTTTGAGATTCAGCCCCTGGGTGTCCCTACGCTTCTCATAACAGCACCATGTTTCAGAACGCCCCCAGAATGTTCTGTGAGTACCTGGAGTAGAAGTCTCAGGGAGCAAGGTGTGTGTTTCATCCTTTCTGTGGTCAGATCAGCTAGTCTGTGATGAACCTGAATATATTCCAGTTACAGAAGTTGGTAAAAAAAAAAACCTAGGGTCCAAGTGGTGAATCTTCTATTTCAAACCTACTTGATAGGAAATGAAGCACCTGTTTGAATTCAGAAGAAATCAATTGTTTTACTTTATCAGGTAAATTGTTTTCATTTTGCCATTCAGGTTTTGTGGAAAGATGGCTGTGTCTTCTTTCAGACAGGATGGGGTAGATCTATAACATTTTTCATTCATTCATTCATTCATTCATTCACTCATTGAGTATCTGTAGGGTATGTTAAGTTTTTTTGAAGATCAAGGTACCTTGTGGTTAGAAAGGGACAATCTACTTTTTTTTTTTGTTTTCTTTCAAATTCTAATAGTTTTTGTTACATAAGAAATATACGGGACATAGGCAACCCCAGAGAATTCTTCTGAGGGCAGTTTTTTGGACTGACATTGAAGTGTCAGGTTCTAACTTCTGAGGCTCTTCTCCTGGTCTTTGTGAATAGGCATTACATTAGCATCCCAGCAAAACAGAAGTTTCTCCCTTCTGTGCTTATGGGATTATAATAAAGAAGAGGCACAGACATTGCTCCCTTTCCCCCACTATGTTCACTTTGGTGGAACATGAGGGATGAATATTATCCTCATTGACATGGTTCAGAGCTAGCTTCATCCACACATACAAAAGTGAACAGTAACAAGGGGTCCTGTATTTGCTTCATGCTCTGTTATCACCTGTTTGAACCATAATCTAGGACGGAGAGGCCCTGTGTTTTCATTTTGCAAAGGGTCACACAAATGATTTTGCTGGTCCTGTCTGCACTGCTCATGTTCATCTTGGCTCCGCTGATCTGCCTTCAGCCTCCAATCCTACTCTGTCAACATGTTCCTTCTCTCGTCAAATAAGAAATTGTTGTTGTTGTTGTTCACTGAATGCTTTTTAAATTAACTTCAAAAGTACTGCTTCGTATGGCAGGTTTATGACACTGATTTTTAACAAAGCTCTGCAAAGTATCCAAGTAGATTTCCAATCATGCAATTCTTAACTTTGGTGGGTTTGTTGTTGTTTGTTCCAGGTAAATTAAAGAGTAATAGTGTTGGTTTTAGGCTTTTAATTTTTTAAAAGACAACTGAGTGCACTACTTGACTTACTTATGGCTCCTTAAAGTAAAATTAGGAAGGTTTGAACTGAAATGTGTTTTCCCATTTTTATCTTGGATAGTAAGCTGCTCTTTGTCTACATCTGAAAATTCCAGCTTTATGATGCATAAGTTGATGCATTAGCATTGGAACCACACTCTGTTGTTATTAAGTAAAATATTTCCCCTGAATTGTATAGAATTAAAAATGCTGCCCTTTAAAAGCTTAGCCATCAGCTCCTACAGTGCTCTTCATGCCTGGGAATACAGTCTCTTGTTTTTTTAGTACCACCCAATACCTTCAGTCCTCCTGCTATTCCAGGGGTCTCTTTTGTGCCTCTGGGGTAAATGCATTCTCCATGTCTCTTAAGTCCTTCAAGAAGCACTGAGTGTTTGCTCACTGGCTTTTAACGCTGGTCCCAAAACTTTTCTCTTTACATATATTGAAAAAAAAAAAATCAAAGGACTACGTTTCTTTGTTCTCATCCAAGCCCACAATTAGCCCAAGTTCCATTCTCTGTAGCTGGAAGGAGGAGGAAAGGGGTGACTCCAGAGGCATTTTACTGCCTGTGAGAAAGTGCTCAGCCGGTTCCTTTGTCCTTTTTGTCAGGGCCGGCCGCTTCCCTAATTGTACCGCTGTAGGGAAGCACGTGCCTCTGGGAGCATTATCTGATTCCTACAGGACCTTCAGGAGTGCTTTGCATGCTGACCCTTAACTTGAACACAAAGAGTATCTTTTCAATCCCATTCCTAGGCTGCTACTGCAGGCCTGCATACCTCCTGAGGAGTTAAATTCAGGGGAGTGGGGCAGGGGTGTGGACGCTCACCGGGGCCTCAGGTTTTATTCTCTTCCCCCCCTGTCTCACCTGCAGTTTTGCTTCACCGGTCAGGAGGGGAAGCTGAAGCTGGAGGACAGAAAGGAATGGGAGCTGGAGAAGTCAGAGGGGAGAGAAGGCAAGACAAACAGCTGCTCTTGTCAGCATGGGGAGAAGTGTAAAGAGATTAATAGTTATTTGAAGAGCAAATGGGGACGTGGCATCCGGCCGTGGAATGCGAATGTATAAATGTACTGGAATGGACATGCGGCCTTTAACATTTAGACAGATGCTCTCTGGACTGAATGGAATGGCCGAGTTCAGACTTTCTCCTCCCCATGTGAAATACCTAAAGTTTAGTTAAATGATTCAGTTTAATGGCAGTTTTCGTCCAGCTTCTCTTTCTTTGTGAGTCTGTTCTTCCCCATAGTTTTACTTGGTCAAGGACTCTCAGAGTTATCCTTCAACGGAAGAGCCAGACTCCTCCTTTCCTTTATAAAATATGTACCAAAGAGACTACTTTTCTCTCCTGCTTTTGCTTTGTTTTCCCCTTTACTACCTTGAAGAAAGAATGAGATTGATATGCGTCAGAAGTTTTCACACACGAAAAACTATACCATCCGGTGCTTGCCCCTTCTGAAATGTGCCCATTTTGACTCTAGTTTAGGAAGGACTTGAATTGTCTCATCAGGCTGACAGGTGTGATGGTGCTGGGCAGGGCCTGGACTCAGAGTCAGAAGATTTGGTTTCAAAATTCCCACTCTGTGCTTACTAGCTGATGCTTGAGCAAATCTCTCCCACTCCATGATAGTAATGCATTTTTTTCCCAGATTAAATGTCAAGTCAATTCCTTCCTTCCATGTACATCCTGTCAAGTGCCTCCTATTCCATGCCCGTTGGCCCAGAAGACCTACAAGTATCTGGGAGAGGAGCTATATGAGCTAATGTACTTCTTAAATTATATCAAATATAGAATGTTAATCATAACTAGATGATGTTCCTCTTACACATGTTCTACTCTGGCAAAGAAGAAATGGCTACAAAGAAAACGAAAGAACAGATAAAAAATTAGGTTATGCTTGGATGATATACTAGTGTGTTTTCTTTAAAAATATCTAGGTGGCTCTCCCTAACCTTACTACCCATGCTTCTCCAGTCTTGATGAACTGAGTCCTTGGGGCCCGGGGCAGAGGGCGGTGTGGGGTGGCATTCCTGGTACCCTGGGACAGAATTTAGACAATAAAACTACAGGGAAATTTGGAGGACCTCTGATTTTGCCCCATATACAACAACTCTATGCTTAAGTCCTCTTTAGAACATATCTATCAGTGTTCTTTCTTATTCTGAATACTATGGCGGGAGGGGATAAAAAAAGAAATAGTAGGTGGTTTTTATTTATTTTAAAGACCTTCTCTACAGCTACTGAGCTCTGGACATTTTTGTCCAGCTCGTTCATATTCTACTTTTTTTTTTTTTAAATATAGTTGGCACACAATGTTACATTAGTTTCAGGTGTACAATGTGATTTCAAGTCTATACCCTATACTCTCCTCACCACACACGAAGTCACTGTCTGTCACTAGACAGTACTACCACAAAATCATTCTGTATATTCTATTATCAGTTTCTCTTCAGGAGACCACAGTCTCCAAAAGCTGCACGTGAAGATTTGTGATCTCTGTGGGTCATTACAAAACACACGCAGGACTTTGACTTCTCTTGCTGTTTCTGTGTATCACAAATTAGTCCTTTTACCTGGAATGTGAAGTTTCATTTCTGAATGTGAATTTCGATTTCTGTAGAATGCATGCACCAAATGATGCCTCCTCTGCCGCCAAAGTAGCTAACACTGGGGTTTCTGGGTGTCCTGCAGCCACAGTACACGAACCTGGGGCTCCTGAACAGCATGGACCAGCAGATCCAGAACGGCTCCTCGTCCACCAGCCCCTACAACACAGACCACGCGCAGAACAGCGTCACGGCGCCGTCGCCCTACGCGCAGCCCAGCTCCACCTTCGATGCCCTCTCTCCGTCCCCCGCCATCCCCTCCAACACCGACTATCCGGGTCCGCACAGCTTCGACGTGTCCTTCCAGCAGTCCAGCACCGCCAAGTCGGCCACCTGGACGGTAAGAGCCCCGGGGCCCTGTGTGTCCTTCAACCTGACCCGTGAATCCGAGGGGCCGGGGCAGGGGCGGTGGGGTGGTCTTCGCTGCCCCTCCCAGCTGCTTCTCCTCTGTCAAAGCTTACAGATCCATTTTGAGTGGTGGAATGTTTTTCACTGTCCTGCAAGGACATTTTGTTTTTAAATATTTATCACAGAACCTGAGAGAGAAAAAGTGCCATTGAATGGGAAAAAAACCGATCCTGGAACCAAAGCCCTATGTTCTGGCAATTTCAGGAGATCTGTTCTCCCCTGCTTTGTGCAGTTGGGGCCGGGGGGGTGGGGGGAGTCCTCTACCTGAAAGTTTTTGGAAAACTATAAAGCATTATTCTAACAAAAAGTATCATAGGCGTAGGATACAGGCCTGCATTTCTAAGAGTGTAGCATAGTTACTGTCTCATTACTTTGAAGAAGTAAATGTCGTATTAATGTGTGGTTAAAAAATTAAATCGCAAACATGGAGTGATAGGAAATTAAAATCTCATTTATTATAGAATGGCTAAATTCATTTATACTTGTAGGTTTTATAGCACAAATTGTAACTTACTGATACTTATGTATTTACTACATTTAGAATTTTTTTCCTCAAAGAAATCTCTAAAATTGTACATCAGAGTCTTCAATTAGTCCAAAGAGATTCTGGTTAAAAATGTTGGGGAAAAAAATGAACTTTGCATATATAACTTTTCCAAGAGTACATGGAAATATTTTCAAAAATTAAAAAGGTACAAGGATGTTTATTCTATTTTAAAGTTTGTTTTCTAATGTATTATAAATAAAGTTCACATATGAGGGAGGAGACTTACAAGACTGGTTTTAACTACTTGATCAAAGAATGCCCAACACTAACGTGGCAAAATGGCACACATGTTTTTCAAACAACTTACTATTTGCATGAATTATAGAAGTGCTTCCAGATATTATCATCTTACTGATAAATAGCTTTAGAATTATTTTAACAGATCTTCCCAACCCCGTTGGCAAATAAATTTCTCTGGAAAGTGTTTTACTTTTTATGTTACAGAATCTAGTTCACTGTAGCTTTAATCCAGCTCTACATCGTTTATAAAACAATCTGCGTTTATGCACTACATCCCAACGTAGTCTCACACTGTGTGCCGTTGTTTTGTCTTCGCCTCTTTGTGAGCTAGGTAGGACAAGTTTTATAATTCCCATTTTCCTAGTGAGGAAAGCTAAAAATGTGGAGGTTAAGTGACAACCCTGAAAGGGCAGAGGCTTCTGTGGTGCTGGACCTATTTCTGATTCTGCCCTCCCACACTAGATTGTGTTCTTTTTCTACCCTTCCACATCAGGATGTTCAAAAGGGGTCAAAAATTTTATTTTTGGGCTTTTCTTTCACGGTTTGAGAAGCGGTTCTGTCATGGCTCATATTTCAAACATAAAGTCTAAGTAAGAGCTTAAAATCTGATCTTCCTCCCGTGTGTTATTTATCAATTATGTCCCAGTCTTGAATGTCTTTTGTATTAATAATCCTGGAGACGGACACTAAAGGTGAGTAAACTTAGAGTCCCTAGACCGTAAGTAAATATTGGTTGATCAGTCTCAGTAATAGTGTGCTGAAGATCTGCTAGAAGCGCCATTTTATAAATGGCGTATGGTGTGCTTTAGCATAGGGATGACCCACTGGGTGTTCACAGTCCCTGATCTTCCAGGCCAACACTTTCTTGTTTGCACACCCGGGCCAAGCTCCACTGCATTAGGAATAAGCACATCTGAAGGGCTGATGGGCACAATGAGGCCACTAAATGATGGAGCATTTCCCCTCTAACATGCTTTAAGGATCATAGCGGTGGAGCGTGCTGCAGGTGGAACATGAAATCAGTCTCATCAGCTCCTCATACAGAAATCTTAACGTTCTTAAGGTTTCTTCCAGTTTGAACATGATTCTGAACCATCCAAGCCCCTTCCTCAGAGAACTAAATTGTGTCATAGAAAAAAGTCTGGTGAGCTATACCTAAATGGTAGATTAAGAAGGAGAGAAAATGTCTTCTGGAGTATACTTAGGTTTCCTTACATGGGACAAAAGTGAGATCAGTATTCTGAATGACAGGGTAGGCACTGCTATTATGGGAAGAGCCACTGTTTGGAAATCAGAAAACCTTAATTCTAGATATGATCATCTTTGTGAGTTTTTAGCCGAGTCACTTTATCTTTCTCAAGTTCAGTCAGTACTTCTGATGAGGATAACGATGAGTCTGGTGAAACCTACTTTCTTTTCTTACGGTGAGGTTGAAGTAATTATCAGCATAGAGGTTCTTGGGACATGTGGGTGACTCAGTCAGTTAAGCAGCCTTCTGTTCAAGTCATGACCCGGGGTCTTGGGATCCAGCCCCACAACAGGCTCCCCAGGAGCCTGCTTCTCCCTCTGCTTGCCACTCCCCCTTGTGCTCTCTCTCTTTATGTCAAATAAAAATAAAATCTTAAACTAGGACATTTTCAGAAGGACTTAGGTTCTCATTAGGAATTTTGCCTGCCATTAAAGAATGGCCTTACTTAAGCTGCTTTGCCTTTCTTGGGTTTCTCTTCAGCTGTCTACTATCTACTCTATTGATTTTATAGAATGGGGTGACTGAATTAGATGTCCCTTCTCTCCTACCAGTGTATCAAATGGTGTTCAGAGTTTTTTTTTGTTTTTTTTTTTAAAGATGTTATTTATTTATTTATTTGTCAGAGAGAGAGAGAGAACACAAGCAGGCAGAGCGGCAGGCAGAGGCAGAGAGAGAAGCAGGCTCCCTGCTGAGCAAGGAGCCTGATGTGGGACTCGATCCCAGGACCCTGGGATCATGACCTGAGCCGAAGGCAGTGGCTTAACCAACTGAGCCACCCAGGCATCTCCAGAGTTTTATTAAGTCCTTTCTTGTTCACCCTCAGTTTTATTTTAGCCAGAGGGACATTTCTCCTAAATTTAGGGCCCTTGAACCCTTATCTGCATAGCTACTGAGATCACCTAAAACAGCTAAGCAGCAGCATCTAACTCTGAGCCAAACTGTATATACTTTCACTTAGACATAGACCTCACATATTTTTAATTATTTTTATTAACATATAATGTATTATTTGCCCCAGGGGTACAGGTCTGAATCATTAGGGTTACACATTTCACAGCTCACCTCACATTTTTAAAAATTATCATCTCACTTGTTTATTTCGACTGAGCCTCACAACGAGGGCTGTCAGCCCCACTTTTATAAATGAGGAAACTTAGAGGAGTGGAGGTGACAAGGCTGATGACCAGTCGAGGAGGAAAAGGAACCCAGGGCCTCTCACTCCCAGCTCACGTGTCTCTGCGGTCCTGTCTAGACAGCTTCTCCTGGAAATGGATAGAAGGAACCATGAAGGGACATCCAGGCCCTGTGTGGTACGGAGCTGAGGCTGAGCTGGTGGAGGGCTTTTTTAAATGTCGTATTACACAACACCTATTTCTTTGGCATCTGTGCATATTAAAGCCACCTTTCAAAATAAAATACTATCATTTAAAACTGCCCACAAACTGGAAGTAGCAGAAGCAGCTGTCGGGAGGAGGAACCACACTTTCTGCATCGTCTCCTGGTAATTTTTTAATACAAACCTTTTTAGTACCATTTTATCACTTGTCATCATCCTCTCGTGTTTTCTCTTTTCATTCTGGTTTTACTCAGAATTACTGCCAAAATATAATGAATATATTTAAAGCATATATGCATATTTGCTTTCTCTATTTTTTTAAACAACAAATGTGATTGTATTTCCAGTTCCATAAAAGCAAGGTATTTATTTTAAACTTTTTCCGATGAAATAAAATGAAGTGTGATAACATTTTTCCGTATTCCATATCTCACAGACGTGTACACATACGTTCAAACCCAAACCCATGCTGAACTTAGGACTTTGCTTCAGACTCTTTTCTTCTTTCTAGAGTCTAATTGCTGCTGCTCAGGGAGGCCTCCCCTTTGACATCCTGAGGTGCCGCTCTAGGATCATGGCAAAGAATCAGGAGCCATCAGATGGTTGACAGAATGGTATTTTAGAAATGGCAAGAGGGGCACCTGGGTGGCTCAGCTGGTAGGGTATCCGCCTTCAGCTCGGGTGTTGAGGTCCTGGGATTGAGCCCCACATTGGGCTCCCTGCTCAATGAGGAGTCTCCTTCTCCCTCTTCCTCTGCCACTCCTCCTACTCATGCTCTCCCTTTCAAATAAATAAGTGAAATCTTAAAAAAAAAAAAAAAAATGGGACGCCTGGGTGGCTCAGTGGGTTAAAGCTTCTGCCTTCGGCTCAGGTCATGATCTCAGGGTCCTGGGATCAAGCCCCGCATCGAGCTCTCTGCTCAGTGGGGAGCCTGCTTCCCCCCCACCCCCGCCTGCCTCTCTGCCTACTTGTGATCTCTGTCTGTCAAATAAATAAATAAAATCTTTAAAAAAAAAAAAGAAAAGAAAAAACAAAAAAGACAAATGGCAAGAAACTTAGGTGTGGATTTGGATTCTGAAATTTGCTCGCGGCATATGGGACCTGTCCAAATAGGATGTTAATGCTTATTCCTTATTATGAGGATTGCATGACCCGTGTAATACTAGCTTGTCATAGGTATAGAAATGTTTGCTGAATCTGAATTTTGATCCCTTTGTTTCATGAGTTTGTTACAGTTTTGTGAGGGTTCAGTTGTACAACCAGCAATAATTTGAAAGAATGTGAAGCAAAGGGCGCCTGGGTGGCTCAGTGGGTTAAGCCTCTGCCTTCGGCTCAGGTCATGATCTCAGGGTCCTGGGATCGAGGCCCGCATCGGGCTCTCTGCTCAGTGGGGAGCCTGCTTTCCTTCCTCTCTCTCTGCCTGCCTCTCTGCCTACTTGTGATCTCTCTCTCTCTGTTTCAAATAAATAAATAAAATCTTTAAAAAAAAAAAAAAAAAGAATGTGAAGCAAAATGTTTCTACCTTTTTTTTTCCCTTAGTGCTTTCATGCTATTCGCATG